TTGTTTAGTGGAAACACTTAAAACAACATTCCCTCCCATGTCTTAACAACCATGCAAATCAGATGCCATAGCCTGTAATCATTGGAATCTCTGCACACGCACACAGGTAAGGATGGGAAAGGTTGAAGGTTGCACTGACTCACCCTGTCACCCAGGCTCTGTGCATTGCGTTTCCTTCCTCAGTAAATACCACTTTCAGTAGGTAAGTGTGTTCCCTTCCACGTTCTATTCTAAGCGGACACAATTAAATTTTGGCATCTCTAACAAGAATTTACTGAATCATAAATCCTCCTTTTTTTTTAAATTTGATATTGTCTTCCAATTACTTCTTCATTTTATTTTGTATTTTAGTGGACTAGGACAACATTTCTACAAATTTACAAGGCATAATGCAACCTTTTGATACATATTTCCAATGTATAATCAAATACATATGCCTTAGCAGAGGGCATAAATCCTGAGGTATTGGATTCTGTGGCAGTTTAAACATGGAGCCCTGGCAAAAACAGATCAGCAAAGTTGGGTAGAATACAGTGTGAGCCTTAGCTAGGCTTTTTTACTAGCCTTGTAATCCCTGAATTCGCTTCTTCTAGACAATTACACATGGAACGGGTTCTCATTTCTCCTTTAAATTTATATAAAAGTTTAAACTTATCATGACTAGAAAACCAGTAGGCATCCCATTTATTTGGTGAATTGCTAAAAAGTGTTCATTCCTGTACTGTGGGAAATAACTCCTTTCCCACCTTATTGTTTGTTTGTTTCTTTCTTTGCTTGTTTGTATGTGATCCAGAGATATGGTGCTCCCTTTATGCCTGAGGATGCTGCACCCAAGGCCACTAACAAGCTTCCTCAGATCTAATTGCAGATACGTCTGTTCTTAGTACACAGTATGGGAAGGCTATCATGATAAATGCCGAGTGAAGTATACACGAAAAATCAAAGGAAGCATGAGCTTGGTGACAACTGAGATAAGGAATGGACCATGGAGAAGGCATGTCTGGACTTGGTTAAGAAACCTCCTTTTACCTTCTTCAAAAAACAGGATATAGGTTAAACTTAATATGTATTTGTATCAAGGGTATCAGTTCTTCCTTTATCAGCGATCATTGTGGGAACAAGTCCAAGAAACATGGCAGGGAGTCAAAAGGAGATTATATTTGCACACGCACACATGCGCTCATGCGCGCGCACTCACACACACACACACACACAATCACCACCATCACTACCACACCATACATCACACACTCTGATTAGATTCAGACTTCCAGCCAGGCCTTACATTAGAGGGTGATATGATTGGGCTAATACTGAGAAGAGTAATAACCTCGAACATGGAAACCTGCTACTTCCTTCATTCCTTTTTCTCAGAAACTGAGCTTGTTTATATATTTGGTTAGAAAGTATGTTAGGTTTAGTCTTCAGACTGTTTTGATTGACAAGTAACATAATATGGTGTAGACCATTATGAGTTTTTCCATTTGCCTGTTCTGTACATAAGTTGTTCCCAGCTTGAGAGTATGACAAATAAAACTCCTTAGAACCCTGGTCTATATATAATATAGATATGTTTCCATCTCTGTTGGGCAAATACCTAGAAGCAGAATGGCTAGATCACGTGGTAAACATATGCCACTTCTCGACTGTCTTCCAGGTAGAATCTACTCGAATTTGCTTTCTGTTTCTGTGACAAAACACAGATCAAAATTAAAGTTATATTCCATTATCAAGGGAAGCCAGGGAAGGAATTTAGGACAGGAATCTGGAGGCAGGAACAGAAGCAGAGGCCACAGAGAAATGCTGCTTCCTGGTTTGCTCCCAGGCTCAAGTTCAGCTACCTTACTTACACAGCACAGAGATGATACTACCCACTGTGGTTACATTAATGAACAACTAATAAAACTCACCGCGAACCTGCCCACAGGCTGATGGATGGAGGCAGTTCCTCAACTGAACTTCCCTCTTCCCCGGTGGCCCTAGGTTTGTATTAAGCTGGCATCATTCCATACTCCTAGAAGTCACTGAGAGTGCCAGTTCATTATTATCCCAGCACTACTGGTAAAGTCAATCTCTGTTCTTTTGCTATTTTAATCCCCACGTTGTATTGTTTCGTTGAGTCTTCTGTGGCTAACAGGTTTTGAGCATCTTTAATATTTTGCTATAAACCTATGCATCTTTCTTTGTGATATGTGTTTCAAATCTTCCACCAATGCTTCAGTTAGGTTGTCTTTGGGGTGTGTGTGTGTGTGTGTGTGTGTGTGTAAGAAAAAGAGAGACAGACAGAGACAGAGATAAAGACAGAGAGATGCATTGCCAATGTTTTCTTACATTCTGGAGGATTTTTTTCCATCTTCCAAGAGCAGAATTTTAAATTCTGGTAGAGTTCAATTTTTATTTTTTTCTTTTATTGGTATTTTTATTGTTATAGCTAATAAATCTTACCCCAAGCACAAATTTTTCTTATGTTATTTCCTCAAAGTTTTATATGCAATTTTGAGATAAATCTTGTATATTTCAAAAATTAGAATCCACATAAATATTTTAAAATATGAATATTTTCCTATTACAGTACTAGTTGTTGAAAGGTGTGTTCTTTCCATATTGAATTTACCCTTTACTGAAAGTCAGTTGCCCGGATGTGTGTAGACTTACTTCTGGGATCTTATTTTGTACAAGGTGTAATTTCATTGCTTGAACAAATTAACACATTCCTAGTATGCAGCTACTGATCTGACAAATGCTCTTTCTATATACATCATGAAAGACTTCCTGAAGAAATTTGGTTTGAGCTTACAAGGTTAGCAGTGTACTTTCTCTCTCTTAACTCTACAATTCTATTGCATTTAGTTCTAAGGGAACTTTTTCTCCCTTTCTCCTCTATAATATTTGCCATGGTACATTCCTGCTATGGCACCATGGTGTTTTCTATTAATAATCAAGGAAAAGAAGCTACTGTAGATGTGTTGATAATGCATATCCCAGAGTTGGACATATTTTATTAAAATTCAGGAGCCTTCTACAAATATTCGGGGTTCTTGTGGCAGGGTGAGACATCCATTCTAAAGCAAAGGATGCATCTCTGTAGCTATCCTTTCTTACAATTAAAAAGGGGGCTCATTGCATAGTGGGCCTCATGGAACAGTGCAGGTAATGCATCTCACATACGGCCAGGCTACTCTCTGTTTCCATATAACAGATAAACACAAAAGTTGCTATTTTTGAATGGGTTCCAGAACTTGCAGAGGTATTGCATAAGTCCTTGCTGCCAATGAGTTAATCAGCTGTTTGGGCCAAGTGTTATGACAGATCCAATGGCCGTGAACTGTCACTGGAGATATAGAAGGAATTTGGAACATTTGTCAAGCCTTTCTAGTTGAACACAAAGCCTTCTATAGAAACGCAGAGCCTTATGGTTTTGGAAAAAGGCCCTGCCATCACCTAAGATATCTTTTTCTTAGACAGAATGACTGACCTCCTATGGTGCCTTACTGTAAACAGAATCATAATCATGGGCCGCCAAATTCTTATGCAACTGTCCTTGGTAAACTGGGTATTATCTGAATCATCGAGCTATAAATTTTGGCATTCACAGAAATATTCCATCATCGATGGAGTGGTATGTAAATGATCAGGCTCTGAAGGTATAATTAAGCTATGGAGAAGTAAAACAAATACCCCGGGTCCTACTTGGATACACTGCTTTCTGTCTTTCACTCTACACCTTGTTAGGGATTCCCTAAAGCAGGTATATAGATTTGACTTTGACAGAGTAAGAGAGAACTGAAGACTGTTTGCAAATGGCTCCTTGTGGTATGCAGTTTCTACCTTAAGTTGATGTCTGCAGCACTACAACCCCCTCTGCCACATCTCTAAGGCAAGGTGGTAGAGGGAAGCCCTCCACATAACAAGACCCTGGAGCATTATACATGCTTAGAAGGAAAATGGTAAGATATTTGGATATATTCAGGAGCTTAATTCAGTTCATTGTTTTGGCTGAACAAAATTAGTAAGAAAGTGATTGAAAAATTGGTGGCAAAGAAATTTGGAGAAAAGATCTATGATTATAGTTCTTTTTCATGAATGGGGGACAAGAAAGTGTTGGTGCATCCATGTCAACTCTCATCAAAGGAGGATTTTATCAATCAGGTGTATAAGGTGACCCATTCTGTGGACCCCAGTGCCAGCCTCTTTCCCTAGACACCTCCATCATCATCTGGTGTGCAGTGACCAACTAGTTCCAGCCACATCATTTTCCCTGGCCTGATGTTATTCTGTGTGGTGAGCAGACAGTATCTGACAGTGCTTGCAGATATGACACCACTTCCTCAGTGGAAGAAATATCATTTCATCCTTACTAAATACTTACGAAAACCTGGATTTGACTTCTCGGCCTGCGTTGCCTTTTTTTTTTAAACTGCCATCCTTAGAGTTATAGAAAGCCTTATCAAACACGATGTGCTACACAGTATTATCTCTGATCATAAATCTCCTTTCACAGCCATAAAAGTATAGCATCGGTGTCATACTCATGGAATTTTAATAAGAACTTTAGCACCCTGAAGTAGCTAATCTGCAGAACAGTGGACAGCTTCTGAGGATAATAACACTTGCTCTGTGGCGTGTCTTGCAAACTGGACACAGGTCTTTAGAAGGCTGCTTATGTTCTGAATCACGTCCTATTTTATGGTGTTGTTTTTCTCATAGCTGACACTCATGGAGCCGGAGATGAAGGGGTGGGACTGGGAGGGGCACCACACACCATCACCGCTGTTAACCTGCTAGCAAAAAAGTTTGTTTCCTGTTCCCACAGACTTATGCTCTGTTGGCCTAAGGTTCTTGGTTCCAGATCAAAGAATTATTCCACCAGGTAACAAAACAATGAGTCCATTGAACTCAAAGTTGACACTGCCACCTGGCCACTTTGGGCTCGTTGTGTCTCTGAGTCAATAGACTGAGCAGGGAGTTGCTATGTTGGCTAGGGTGATTGATCTGGACTGCCAAGGGGGAAACGGTTCTGCTATTTCACAATGGAGCTGTGGAAGACATGTTTCTGAAGCACAGGCCATTTCTGAGAACATTGCTCAGAATTACAATGCCCTGTGATTAAGGTCAATGGCAAACTGCAACTGCTCAATACAGGTGGGATATCTGACATCCCTTCAAGAATGCAACTCTGAGCTAATCCGCCAGGTAAAGAAAAAAGTTACTTGTTGATTGAAGAGTAAAAATGTCAGCTGTGACCATGTGACTAGTTATAGAAATGAGGATTCTAATAGCCTTATTTATTTGAGAACATGCTTATGTGCATATAGTTAGCAAGCATCTTTGGTTTTGCTCCTGTCTTATTCCAGTAACATGAAGGGGAAAATGTACTTATTTTACATAAGTCATTACATAAGTCAACATTTAAGTGTTGCCAGTTTTCCATCATAGCACTAACGTTATAGACTTCCAGGGGAAGGGTAAACATTACTCAAGGTCTTTACTGTTGATTCCAGGAAGGGATTAGTCAGTTTTGCTTGGATATGGGACAGTTGCGTTGTGTTAGGTCTAACTATAACTTTATAATTGTCTTTATTTGGAGGTTTAACTTGAATTAGAGTAATGTGAATATGTTCTAAGTTCATAAGAGGTAAGCTTTAGATATTTCTTTTATGTGACTATTTCAGTAAGCTGTTTGTCTTTATATCTGGCAAACGATCATATGTTTTTGGCTGTTTCACTTCTATGTGTATGTACGTATGCTATGCATGCAAGTGTACATGCATGCACATATGTGTGCTAGTGCCCATGGAGGTCAGAAGAGGCCATCAGAGTCCCTAGAGCTGGAGTAACAGATGACAATGAATTGTACAATGTGTGCAGGATTCTGAACTGTGGTCCTATGGAAGAGTATCAGGTGTTCCTCTCTGTTTCCCCACCTCCACATTACTGATTGCACCTGAACTAGCCTTTTAAACATTTATTTATTTATTTTGTGGGTTGAGTGGTGCACCATAGTGGTTGAGTGGAAGTGAGAAGATCGTTTATAGGAATGGGTTCTCACTTTTCACCCTGTGGGGCTCTGGGATTGAATTCAGGTCATCAGGCTTGGTGGCTCCTAAAAGTAAGATCTTAAAGGGAAAACTATACCTGTGTTGACAAGATTATGCACAATAGCAAAGTAACGGCAGTAATCCATGCAGCAGATAGTCACAATGGAGTCCTTTTAGCTTAAAATAGGGTATGCTGACACATGCTGCAATACGCATAAACGAAGGATGCTAGGCTATGTGCAATGACCCACTCACAAAAAGAACAGCGCTAGATGATTTAACTTTCAATCCATCATCAAATTCCTGGAAAGAGGAATGGTAGCTGCCATGCCTGGAGGGAAAGAAGGAGCTTGAGGAATTGTGCTTTGATGGGTACAATAAGTGCTCTTAACTGCTGAGCCATCCCTTCATCCAAAAGATGTGTTCTTAGAGAATCTGGGCGAGAGCTTGGGAAAGAAATTAACATTGAAATGAGATGGCAGAATAAAGAAGATTTCTCTCCTTAATGCACGTGGGTATCATTCAATTCACTGAGGCTTTGGATAGAAACAGGAGGAGAATGACAAATCCCTTCCTTTGTTTATTCTGGAGAATCCATTATTCTGTTTCTGATTTGGAGAACCTTTGGATCAAGACAAGGACTTACATTATTGACTCCTCTGGTTTCCACATGTTGAGGTTTGCACTGAAACTGAGTTAGAGACTTTCCCTGACCTCCAACTTGCAGATGGTTCATGGTCACTTCATGACTCCATAATCATGTAAGCCAAGCAATTATTTTAAATCTCCCCTTCTCTCTTCCTTATTGATTCTCTTTTTTTCAAGTGAATCTTCAGTTACTGATTGTACACCAATGGTTGCATAGTTTATTCATGATAGTGTTGATTATTGTCTGTCTCTGAGGAATATCTCTCTATGGTTTTGGTATCAGAACAATTTGATGTCCCTGAACAAATTAGGAACTATCATACCCTCTTCCACTTCTGGGTGAGTGTGGTAGGAAGTACAGTCACACACAGAAACACATTTACACATGTATACACACATACATATACACATAAATATATATACCCACATACACACATTCTCAAATACACACATTCACACAAGCACAGACACACATAAACATCCCCCCACACACACACATTATTTCTTTGGTTAGTACAGTAACTGAATTAGTTAAGAATATTTAACCCATGCTGAGCAGTGTTGAAATCATGAAATTTTCTCTTTTCTGGAATCTTTGCTCATTGCATTTGCTGGAGTACGTATGCCACTCGAAGCTGAAGCTATTGACAAAGAAGGAAAGGGGAAAATTAAGACAGCTCATAGCTTCCTTTCCATTTAGTCTTCCCTCATACAGTCATTGACAGAAATGAAATGAAAGCAGTTCGGTTAGTTTTCTGAAGTTTTAGCAAGTTATGGTATGAACAAGAAACATGAAAGCTACAAAATATATGCTGTGTCATTTTGATGTGTCCAATATAAATTAAAGACAATTTGTCTTTTAATTTTTTTATTTGTGTGTTCATGCCTATGTGCATTTATGTGTACCATGTGCATGTAGGAGTCTGAAAAGGGCATAAGAGGCATAGGCACCCCTGAAGCGGGGGTTACAGATAATCGAGAGCCACCATGTGAATACTAGGAACTGAATGTGGGGCCTCTGCAAGAGTAGTCAGTGTTCTTAACTGCTGAGCCATCTCTCCTGTCCCTGTCTTTCTTTTTATTTAAAAGCGCCATTATGCAATAGAAAGATCAAAAGAAAAATTCGTGTTCAGCATTTAAAGTTTCAGAATGTTCTTCACTGGGAATGACAATGAACAAGTAGAAGTCATTATGACAAGTTCAGAGAAATCATACCGAAAAAAAAGAAAGGAAAAGAAAAAGCTTTACTTTCAGAACCTTCAATGTTCCTGTCCAAATACTGGGAATGGGCCATGTTTCATTTTGCACTGAGCTTTAGGGAGGTCCTACTCCTGACCTCCCTGAAATTGGGTGGTGATATCTGGTGACCCTTGAGGAAGAGGTGAGGTTCCTACAAAGGTGTGCCACTGGCAATCACCAGTGTGGAACAAAAGTACAAATAAATTGTGACCATTTCAGCCTCAGAGGCTGAAGAGACGGCTCAGTGATGTGAGAGCACTGGCTATTCTAGAGGACCCAGGTTTGTTTCCTAGTACCCACAGGGTTGCTCACATGTGGCTGGAATCCAGTCCCAGGGGATTTGATGCCCTCTTTGGGCTCTGTGGGCACTGCAGGCACATGGTACCCAAACATACACACAGGTAAAACATCCATATCCATATTCATAGTGTAAAATAAGGAAATCAATCAATAAATGAAGATACCGATCATCTGTTGTTTTTTTCAAAAAACACAATTTAAAAATAAATGAAGTATGAAATTTTAAGGTAACGTTTTGTGAAAAAGTCCACAAAGGCCATGTATTGAAATTTTGGTTCATAACTCATGTCCCCTGTGCAAAATGGTAGAACATTTAGGAGCTCAGGACTAGCAGAAGGAATGTAGATTCTTCAAGGTGTGCTTTTAAAGGGATCATTGAGATTCTGGCTTCTTTTTGTCTGTTTTTGCTTTCCAGTCGCCATGATATGAGTAGCCTCCTATGGCATTTGCTCTCACGATACACTGCGTTGCCATATGCCCAAGACAAGAGGTCCTCATAACCTCTGAAATCCCAGGTAAACATTCTACTTCATGAGTTGATTATTTTGTCGCAATGATAAAAAGCTGACTGCCGTGTAGTCAGTAAATCCTTGCTATTGTTGCCTTTCCATGTTAGCTCCTACTCCTAGCACCCCAGCTTCTATCACTTCCACTGCAGATCCAAGACCCTGAACATCTGATCCAGAGCCCCTGTCACTGCCTTGCTCCCCCAGTCTCTAGACAACAATGATAAAGTCATGATCCCACTTTTATACTAGTAACAACAAAATCAATCACTATCCCTTGGGTGACCAGAAGCAGCTTTGTTACCTTCTGCTTTTTAAAGGGTGACAGCTGCAGTGTGACCCAAACAGAGGTATGGAGTCACTGAGAATTAGCTGTCTCATTCTTTTCAGCATTATTTCAATGGCTTCGTTAGTTGTGCAGATGTAGGACATCAGGTGCCTTTGACCTCAGAGAAACAGCACTATCAGGACTGTGCTTTTGAGCGGCTGTAATCCTTATGACACCCTGGTTGGAGGAGAGATGAGGATGGACAGAGAAATGATCTTAGGTCTTTCCATTCCAGAGTTCAAGAATTGATCCCATCCCTTCATTTTCTCTTCTGGCTTTGGAAGGCTAAATATGTACCCTGGGAACATCTTTAACATTAACTGTTCACCTAGAAGTATAAACATAAGCATCTTCATGAGTCTGCCGGAGAAGTCCTGGTACCATCAGTCAACAGCCGGCTTTTGAAGCCCTAGATGCACAGGATCCCCAGGACCCATCTCTGCACAGCTTGATGGGGATATATCACTTCATCACTGATGTGCAGCTCCCTCGGAGGCTGATGCTAAGTAAGCAAGGTCTTGTCTATCAGGGTGCTTGGAACATTCAACAGGGGCTGGACCCTCACAACAAGAAACTTGACTTTATCCAAAATGGCCCGTGATGTTCATGTGATTAGTTTGAAAAATAAAAGTAATACCTTTTGAAGAGCAAATACCACAGAGCTGCCTGCATTTAAGATCTCTTCTCTTGGGATACGTTTTCATCTGGAAGTGTGGGAAACAGCTATTTCTGCAGCCTAGCATGCTGATGTTGGCATGCCCTCCATGAGAACTCTCTGCCTTTTAATGAGTGAAACAAAGGAAAACACTGGATTAGAAGCTGAGCATAATAGGCTGTGACATTTCCTGAACTGAGATTCCAAAGCCTGCCTTTTCATTTTTTAAAAATCCCAGAAGATCTAGTTAAGATGGAAAGTGTGATTCCACCCAGGCAGGGATGACATGCACACCAGGGGAAGCCCTCAGCTGTTGACACACACCATCATCTCCAGGGAGTTCAGCCATGACATTTCTGACTTAGCGAGCATAGCTGCTTTTACAGTAAAAAAAAAAAAAAAAAAAAAAAAAAAAAAAAAAAAAAAAAAAAAAAACAAAAACACTTTCAGTTCTGCCTGTTGTTTGTGCTTGAAGGCTTGCCAACTCCACAGTGAACTTTTCGGGGAAGGCTTGCACATATGTTAGAGAGCTCTCTTCCCTTGAAGTGTTGTTCTGAAGGAGGCTGGGACCTTCTATCACTGTTTCTGTCATTATGAATCTGCAGGGTCTTGAGGCCTTTAAAAAATATTCCTGGAGAAATTATTCATTTCACAACTGAGGTTTTCTTGGCTGCCCTAGGCAATGAGTGAAAATGTTGCCCAACTAGCATACCATAGGGGAATGTCTCTGCCTCTCTCCTAGTCTCCTGAAGGAAATCCAAAGCACCCACATCTCCAAAACTCCCCCAAGATGCTTTCTCCATACTTCACAGACCAGTGTTCCTGCCACAAGTGGTGGCTTCCCAGGGGACTCTCATTTAATCAGTGACTCTCCTTGATGCTGGTGTCTCTGATGAAACCCTATGCTAGGGATTCCCTCCACAGCTGCACCATAAGATGATGATGCTCGGATGTTGATCTGCCCCACCCCTGCTGGAACTAGGAAAGACTGGAGCAAATAACAATGTGTTTGACACGGTCTGAGCTTTCACATTCCCACCCTTGATGCTGAGTGCACCAACTGTCCATGAACTTCCCCTGTCCTCCTCCTCCATCAACCCTGGGCATAAGCTCCTTCTAGAAGGTTCCCCAGCTTCTCCTGACGACATGTGTGTCTTGACAACTCAACTCCTTCTTTTGTTTGGTATGCCTGGTCCAGCCTGAGGCCAAAGCAGAGGTGCTGTCTGGGAGCTCTGTTAAATATTAAATAGTCAAGAATGCAGGAAGTCAGAAACAACTCCCTCTTCTTTCTTCTTTGTGTAAATGTAGAGTTTCAGCTTACTAGAAAGATGCCATTTTTCATTTAGGTTAGAATCTGATGGTTTGGTACAAACCACCACCAGTATTCAAAAACTATAAGTAACATTTGGAATGTAGTTCCTTTCATAACTTGATCAAGAATGAAGGAGTTGGTAAATAGGAGACTTTGTGGCAATAAAGGAGATGAATAAGATGGAACATTGATAAATCCAGCCTTGATTTTCAGAATAGCATTAAAGTGGAACAGAACAAAGCTATCAAGGAGGACATACTTATCTGTTGACTACTGATATTTGCTTTCCACTGACTTTTAACCAGGCAAGTTCTCTGAAGCAAAATACTTCACAGAGACAGAATACACACAGGCCCAGGTTGGAAAATCCTTTTTAGTCAGAAGTGCTTGATGGCTTTTCTGTGCGGGCTCATATTTCCGGAAAACCCTGCAAGGAATCCTACACGCGGTTGCATAATTGTCGTGTGGGCTGAGGGTGGAGGTGCGATGTTATATAAGTTCACCCCGACTGCACGCACGTCAAGGCAGAATGGCCAGGCGATGCTTCCCTCAACCAGAAGCAGGGCTCCCAGAATGATCTCATCAGTAGAAAAATGATGACAGCTGGTGGCTTAAATAAAGCTTTGTGACAACAACGTGGCAGGAGAGCCACACCTACACATTCTCTCCATTTGCTGTTTGGCAGCAAGTGCAGCGCACACTTTCCGACAAACTTGAAGTGTTGGCGCTACTTGTGTGTTGAATCATCATCAGAAGAGTTGGGCGGTCGGCACACATGAGGGCAAGCATGGTTTGGGGCTGGTGAAGAGCCTTGTGTACAGGGTCAGATTCCAGGGGATCAAGCCCGTGCTGTGTGCAAACATGAGGGACTTTGTGAGGCTCCCCAACTCTTGATTCTTCCCAACTGTAAAATGGTGACAACAATAGGACCTATGCTTTGTGGTGAATTCCCTTAGGGGACAATGCTGGGGGTAGAACCCGGATGAGCACCCCATCACTGAGCTATATTCAAGCCCCTTGGGGTCACTTTAAACATTAAGTGATTAGGATTTGTTAACAAGTTAACATATAACTTGATTTTGTTTTACTTATTGCAGTGTTGGATGCTGAATCTCACTCACATGCTGGACCTCACAATGTTCACCACCAGCCCCAAGAGCCACTGATTCTAAATGTTAAACATTTGGGTATTTTTCACTGGGTACATGAAGTTATCATAATTATTTCTCAAAGAAAGGAAGAGACAAGTGAGTGCCTGTTTAATTGCTGGGGGCAGTTCAAAGGAAATAAATAAGGCAAAGTGGAGACATGGATTTCAGCTCACACACTGATTTTGAAGTAGAGTAAGTTAGGAACTCTTCCACTAAGCCTCATCCGATGGATGCTGAAGGGTTTGTAAAATAGTGCAACCATTTTGGAAACAGCTTTGTGCTTCCTCAAGGGAACCCTGGAAGGAAAAAGCATGGGGTTACTTATTGGTCTGGCAATGCCTCTTAAGCCTATACCCAAAATAACCCAAAATATACATCCACACAAAATTTTCGATATATATAGCATCACAGCAGCATTTATAATGTCCAAAGTGGAAATGTAATCAATATTTGTCAACTGATCAACAGTTAAACTTAATGTAGTTTGTCCATAGAGTAGTATTTGAGTATTAAAAGATAGGTTAACACAATGCTACAATGTGGATATACCTTGAGGATATTATCCTAAGTAAAATAATCTAGTCATTAAAGACCATGTGGTGTAAGGTATTATTTATATAAATTTTCCAGGATAGGCAAATTAATAAGGGAGAGTAATGGTCCCAAGGAATGAGTACCAATAGATACAGGGCTTATTTGGGGGGGGGGGTGAATATAATGTTCTGAGATTAGATGGTGATGGTTGTTACAAAGGCCTATGTATGTGCACATACCTACTAAACTATATTCTTTATTTCTTGTGTGTGTGTGTGTGTGTGTGTGTGTGTGTGTGTGCGTGCGTGCCTGTGTGCACATGCACCTGGAGGCCAGAGGCCAGCCTTGCATGTCACTCCTTAGTTGCACTCCATTGTTTTCTCGAGGCAAAACTTTTCACATGGCTTGGAACTCACCAATTCAGCTAGACTGGCTGGTCAACAAGCCTCAAAGATTTGCTCATTTCTGTTCTCCAGTGATGAGATTATGAGCATGCCTGTCCATGCTGGGTATTTTTTGCCTAAGTTCTGGTGATCAAGCCCAGTTTCTCATGTTTGTCTGGCAAACACATTCCCAACTGACCTGTTTCACCAGTCCCAAACTGTATACATGAAAAGGGATGCCTTTCATGAAATATAAATGATATTCTCCATCTAAGTAAAGCAATCTATATACATATTTAAGCCATCATTAACCGATGATACCATGTAAAATAGGTCATTTAAATAACTTGATTCTGCTATACTTTGGATATGATTTGCTACCAAAAATTAACATGGTGGAAGCTTTGTCCCTAGTGCAATGGTGTTGACATACTGGAACGTTTAAAAGTTAATTAGTTCATGGAATAACAGCTTCAGAAGGGAGTTATATAGTTCCTTTAGGACCAGGTTTATCCTACTTAGAGTACATTGTTATAAAAATGTAAGTCTGGTCCCTCTTTTTCTTCATTTCCCACCTCCATCTCTCTGCTCCTCTGTAATGTTATCCATTATGATAGCTAGCCTTCTGGGATTAGGCAACAGAATCCTGGAATTTTAGCTTCCAAAGTTATGAGATAAACAAACCTCTGTTTTTTATACATTACTTAGTATCAAGTATTGTTATAGGACACACAAATCCAGCTAAGACACACTGTGCTAGCTGGCCTTTAAGTTGCTGTGACAGAATGCATGACATAATTTAAGGGAAGAGATATTTCTTTTGCTCATGATCTCTGATGCACCATTCCCTGTGGTGAAGAGGATGCGATGAACAGGAGAAACCCCACTGTAGCAACTATAGAGACAGAATACCATCAGCCTTAGCTGACTTTCTTCTTTTCACAATTTATTTAATTCATAAAGACAGTGAATTCAAAGTAGGTTTTCCCCACTCAGTTAACTTATCTTCTCTGGAAATATTCACACAGACACACCCAGGGACGCATTTTACTGATTCCCTAGGCATTTCCCAATCCAATCAAATTGACACACAAAATTTATCATCGAAGACGCCATCCCAAAGAGAAAGCAACTCAACCCTCTCCTTGAAGCAGAGTTGAGAATGCGATAGCAAAGTGGATGTCAGGATGTGGGTCATCAGATCTTTTCTCAAGAGACCTTGGGCCTAAATATAGGACCCCTTGTTGAAGACCCCCCCCCGGCCGGGTACCACAAGCTAAACAGAAATACCAAGCAGTTTCAGCTGTAGAACTCACACTTTCCCCCAAGAAAGTGGTTTCTGCGACTTCAAGCACCCAAGCAAGAGGACTGAAGAAAAGACTTCAGGCTGGAGTTACTTCTTTCACCTTCGTTCACATAAGGAGAAAGGCATCCCCACTCAGGCAATGTTTACTGCCAATAACCTTTTGGTCACCACCCAGTTCTGGCCACCTATCAAAGCCAAATGACTGGGGTGTGACTTTTGTTTGTGTCCTAGCAATGGTTCAAGGGGCTGGAAGTCTGTTCTCACATTTTTTGAAGGGAACTATGTACCTAAAGAAAATGAATATCTTATCGGTCCAATCAGAATTAAAGTGGATTGCTTTCTTACAATTGCCAGGTGCTACCTTAAGCAGTTGATACATGATATCTTCTTTAATGCTTACCCAAACCTGTGAGATAAATATTATTCTTTATCCTTACCCTTGGCGGCTGACTTATTGATATGCTACCAACCTCCCTGCCAAACTGTGTCGACTTTGAGTAACTATTTTAATGGTTTATTTTCTAAATCTTTGTCAGTCTCTTCAGACTGTCATAACAAAAGTGCCATGAAAAGAGGGAGCTTAAAAAGTAGAAATTAATTTT